ACCTTGGGACTCAACGTAAATTAGTAATTTTTGAAGTATATATGCATTGAAAATCAATACGTAATGACTTTTGAAGTACATATGCATTGGAAATCAATAATGACTTTTGAAGTACAGTAAATGTAAACAAGAGGAACAAATGTGTTCAATGTATTCTTAAGCAAGTTTGACATATATAAATTATATGAATGTGTTAGAGTATTCAAACCATATCTCACAAGATGGCTTTTCATCTAAAAGGTGTTGCAAAATCAACTATGTCAAATCAAATATGTAAGGAGTTCTGTGAGTATAAGAGAGATAATCCTGCAAGCACACAAAAAGACTTGCAGAGATGGCTTGAGGGAAAATTTCATTTGAAAGTTAGTCAAGGAACAATATCAAACACACTTAAGCGGTCAGATGACTATCTCTCTGCTGAAATAGAAAAGGAAAGAGCAGAGATCAAAAGATACAAACCAGCAAAATATCCTGACATGGAGAAGGTTGTTTATGAGTACTAACACCAGCATAGATCTTCTGACGTGCTCAGACAAAGAGCATAGATCTTTTGATGTGTTGAAACAACACCCTAATCAATTAACTCTATTTGTTGTTTGTACGATTTATTTTTTCACTGAAAGTCTTCGATTCTGACGTGTCACGAACCGCATAAATTGAAACGTGAAATCGTGCTAGTTCGAATAAAAATAACCTACGAACAAAATCCTCCACAAACTCGTACGCTTTCGAATTTTCACGTTTTCTCGCCCGAGATGTCTCTCGGCCAACAGCGTGGTTTAATTCCTTAATCACATTCATGTTACCTGTCCTATTTGGATACGTTACTTAACAAGTATTTGACAAGAACAAAAAGAGATTCCATTACAAAAGGGCTCTATCGGCCCGGAATTACAAGAAGTTTCATTAAAAATGACTCTGTCGGCCGCTACTTACAAGTCTAGCAAAAAGAAATAAAAGCAATACCCTAAGACTAGGCCTCAGGCTCCCCTTGGGCCGGCATTTCCTCCTCGGCAGCTTCTTCCTCGACCACCGTTTCCTCTCCACCAATCGGTCCGGCCTGGTGAAGAACGGGTGCTTCGACATCAAGTTGTTCATTCAGAGGAATTTGAGTCAAGTTGACATATTCCCCCCGATAGAAGTCCATGGACATGTCAAATTGGAAGTCTAAAGGGAAGCTTCCAAATCACCGGGCCTGGCGTGCCGCTTGTGTAAAGCCTGCCTCGTCTTGAGAGAGAACTTTGCTTCTTGCCCTCTCTCGGTACGAGCTGTAAGCCTTCTTCTCGGCCTCTAGCTCGCCAGCCAGGTTGGTCGCCCGTTCGGCCTCGGCCTTCAGAGAATTCTCAAGCTGTTGCACCTTCAACGTTAGGTCATCGTTCAAACGGCCCCGGCGATCCATCTTGGCCTCATACTTCTTGTTGTTTGTCTGCGCCTCAGACAAAGCAACTAAAGCTTCCTGGATGGCCCTCTCCGAGTTAGAAAGCTTTCAGTGCAGCTCTGCGGCCTTCTCGCTCGGCTCCATCACAATGCTCTAAGCCAGAGCTAACGCGCGAACTTGGAATTCGTAGAAGAAGGTCCACTTATGAGAGGAGCTCATTCGGCCAAGAATCGCCTGCCCCTCCTCCAAGGTCAGGTCTTGGCTCAGATAGTCTTGAGCACTAACATTAGAGGCCAGGAAGCTCAGACTCACTAATCCCTGAGGAGACGCGAGAACGAGCAACCTCTATTACTTCAATCGATGAGACTCGACCTCGGCCCTCGCCTCGTCGGCCTTCCTCTTCGTCACCTTCGACCGAGTCTTTTCTTGGGGACCTTTCCCCTTCGGCTGTGTAACCGGCTGGGCCGTTGCATGAACCGTGATAAAATATAATTAATTTTCAATTAATTTAATAAAATAAAAATTCTAAAATAAATTATATTATGATTTTAATTATGAATCTATTTTAAATTTATTAGTTTGATGTTTAATGATGTTTGATATTATTGTGATAAAAATTGATATTCTTTCATATTTATATATATATTGTTAAATAAGTACTGAACTGATAAGGTAGCTCAGATGGCTGGAGAAGGAGTGTTAAGGTTAGAATGAGTAGAAGGTAAGGGGTTCGAATCTTACCACTGCCAATTATCTGAAAATTAATAATTAATACTTGTAGATTAGAAAAAAAAAGTGAAAATAATATATATTATATAATTAATAAATCTGGAATAATTTAATTATTTTTTATTTAAAAATTCGTAAAAATAAAAAATTAGGATTTTGTGACGGATTTTGAATCCCTCACAATTTGTGACGGATTTTGAACCCAGTTTGTGACGAATGCATTCCCTCACAAATTGCGACGAAAAATTTATTAGTTAGTGACGACATATTTCCGTCACTAATTGTGACGGATTGAATTTTCCGTCACTAAATATTTTGTGACGCCATTTTTTGTGACGACCCAAAATCTGTTACAAATTCCGTCACTAATAATTTTGTGACGGATTTTCATTAATTTTGTGACGGATTTTTTCCGTCTCTAATTTCCATTTTTCTAGTAGTGAGAGCGGTTGAAGTAAATCATGGGATAAGTGTCAAAGGTTGCAGAACGATTTGGGGAAGTTAATAAGCAGTTCCAAGAGTTATCCAAAGACGTGCCCGGGAATAAGCCACGATGTGGAAGTTTAGAACAATTATGCACTTCCGGGGCACGTCAGAAACAGTTACCTTTCCCAAATCTTTGTCTATAAATTAAACGAGCCATGCTCGTAGCAAAGGGTCAGAAATCAAACACCCACAATACCTCACACGCACTTCTCGCCTGCGCATAAGGCCCACTGTGCATACGAGACAACTTTGGGTACGGACACACCCACAATACCTCACACGCACTCCTCGCCTGCGCATAACGCCCATCATGCATACGAGACAGCTTTGGGTACGGTTTCTCGACCACCTTTCTTTGGTTAGAAATCAAATTCCCACAATACCTCACGCGCACCGCAGCCTGCACATAAGGAATATTGTGCATATGAGACAGCTTTGGGTATGATTTCTCGACCACCTATCTTTTTTCCTTTTTTAGGAGTAGCGTAGCATAACATAATCTAGTCTAGTGTAGTGTAGTCATCTGAACATGTTTCGTCATCCTTACGCATTGTAATTTTGTTACCATTTAATGAAGGATATGATTTATGCAATCAATATACATGTCATCTATTCGATTCACGTTAACACATGCATGAATTTGATTGTATAATTAGCATAGATCTTCTGATGTGCTGAAACAAGCATAGATCTTCTGATGTGCTGAAACAAGCATAGATCTTCTGAAGTGCTAACACCAGCATAGATCTTCTGACGTGCTCAGACAAAGAGCATAGATCTTTTGATGTGTTGAAACAACACCCTAATCAATTAACTCTATTTGTTGTTTGTACGATTTATTTTTTCACTGAAAGTCTTCGATTCTGACGTGTCACGAACACGCATAAATTGAAACGTGCTAATCGTGCTAGTTCGAATAAAAAGAACCTACGAACGAAATCCTCCACAAACACAAGGTAAGGGGAGAGTGAAAAACCTCTCTTAAGGTTCGAGGATAAATGTTGGGTAGTTAGGATTGGCCCCTAGAAGAGTTCTACTTGTGGTGGATAATTGTCCAGCACATCTAAGAAATATTGAAGGGCTAAGAAGCGTTGAGTTGTTCTTCTTACCACCCAACATGACATCAAAGATTCAACCTTGCAATGCTGGGATAATACGAGCTTTCAAGATGCATTACCGTAGAAGGTTTTACCGCAAAATATTGGAAGGTTATGAGGTGGGACAATCTGATCCAGGGAAGATAAATGTCCTTGATGCTATCAATTTGGCAATCCCAGCTTGGATGATAGATGTTCGAAAAGAAACAATAATGAATTGCTTCCGACACAGTAAAATTTGTTCAGCTAGTGACGTTGCAAGAAATTTGGATGAATCCACTTTTGATGAAGAAACTCAAGACCTCGAGACTATGATCAATCAATGTGGCTATCGTAATAAGATGGATATCGACAATCTAATGAACTACCCAGGTGAAAATGAAGCATGTTCGGAGGTTCAGAGTTTAGAAGATATTGTAGGTACTATCATTGAGAACAATGCAGAGGATGACAACGAAGATGATACAGTGTCTTTGGAGCCTGTTACACGAAAGGAAGCACTTATAGCGTCGAACACTCTTCACAACTTTATGATACAATACAAAAATACAACACCTGAGCTATTGGATGCAATAAGAAAAGTTAGAGATGAGCTCTAAATAGACTTGAACTTTAAAGAAAAACAGACAACTATTGAATTATATTTCAATAGAGTGTAATATATTTTTTTCAGTTTTTATGAATTATTAATTTATGATTTTATTGGGACCGAAAATTATAAAGGGATCTCCCAAAAAATTATTATTTTATTATTTTATCAAGTTTTTCAATTTTTTACATTGGCCCAAGTCGGACCGGATAAATTTATTATTTTAGAGAATTTATTAATTTACCGAGTATTAATTTAAAGAGTTTCTACTGTACCATGTTTCTTGTAATCAAGACTAAAGCAAGACTCTTATTTATTTCTTATACATAAGAAAAAATACAATATTAAATAAGTATATGAATTTAATTACTTACTATCTTTTAAAACATATCAATAATAACAATTTAGTTAAATTTTGTTTTTGAATTTTTGACTAATATGATTGTAAATTTTGCAATTTTAAGGATTTTTTTTTTAATTTTCTTTGATTTAGAGAGACTAATATACCAATATCTTCTAAATTCAGATACCAAATTAAACTGATTACTTCAAAAGTTACATACACTCTTTTAAAGTATAGTAAATAAAGTTACATACCCAACACTCTTCTATTTAAAGCAGTAAATGCATCATGTATGACCATTAATTTTTCACTAGTGATATCAGTGAGTCTTTGGTGATTTCTAGCATCAACAAGAAGCCTTTTAGTTCTTCAAAGTCAGAGTAAAAACACCAACCGTAGTCGTTCTTATTATTAAGATAAAAGTTTCCACTTCCTTTCTTCAAGCATTCAGCATAAGATTGACATAAGTTGGGATGTTCGTTGATCTTCTTCGCCAAAAATGCAAGACCACTTGGATATTTGTAGTAACTAAGAAATAATCCAACAAGAATACAAATAGAATTGGTCACGCCACAGTGAAATTTTGAAGGGCAAACAAACACCCGAAAAAAATAATCTGCTTCTATCTTCTTCATTGGAAACATTACTATAAATGATATGCCAAAGTTAGAACAAATGCACATGTATATATATTAGAGTTATATACTAATTTTTCATAGTTCCAAAATATTTGTTATAAATCATAAGAAAAATGAATTGTATGCTATATAGGATGTGACAAGCAAGAAGATAGCCAAAGGACGAAGCCTAACCTAATGGTTGTTTGAACTTTGAAATAACCAATTGCATTGTGTTACACAACCTTAAAGCCCTTTTCCGTAAACTATTCTTTTTGAATCAATTTTCATGGTTGCTTCTAGTTATGCTATATCATGTAGAAGTGTCAAAGTGAGTCAATTTACTTATCTAAATTGACTTATCATAACTTAATAAAAACTTGCGTCAATTTAACCTTAATCACTTAATTGATTAGTGTATCATCCCTTTATACTCTAATAGGACCCTAATCTCAAAAGAGCTTTGTTTACTCCAACTAATTTGTAATTAATATCATTTAAGACTCAAAACCTTTAAGTATATTGTGAACTTGCTTATATATATATTAGAAAAACTCATTAATTCATCTAGGCCGTGAGAATGAATTAAAATAATGCAAGTGAGATACCATAATTCTTAAACATTTTTGTGACCAAAATAAATATGAAAGTTAAAACTCAACTCTTTATTCTAAAATAATTGAAATTATAGATTTTGATTGGAGGTGTACATTACAAGTAGAGTTATACTTACCAATTGTGCGATGAATCGACCAACGTATCTCCTAAAGTCAGAGTATAATTTATCTATCTCAAATAGAAAAATTAGAATGGACATTATAATCAACATTTTCTAAGAGGGTTGAGTCCTTTAATGTATGTCATTTGCCGACACCACCCATTCCAAATTGGGAGAAATTGGTCTCGAATTTGTTGAAATGTGCTGCATATCTATATACATTTAGGCATCCAATGTTAGTGAAAAGGAGATATAAGAAAGAGGAAGAATAAAATATTATGAATAAAACTAGAGCTTCATATAGGCTAACTAAAGAACTATTGTACACACATTTATATACATGCATATTATAGATAAAAAAAAAACAAAAAAAAACAACTTAATAATCATAATCAATCAATATGAAGATCAATCATAACAACGAACACACACAATTTCATCCCAAACACTAGATGGAAGTTCACAATAATCATCACCGATTCGGGGTTTAAAAGGCTATCCTTTTAGTTTAGGGAAATCGTTTAGTTCCAATATCAACATAATTATTATTAAAAAAAAAATTTCTAACAATGTGTTCCCAAGAATAGTGAAGCGATAGTAATATTACTTTAACTTAAATATATTTTTAATATCTTAAATTTTAAATAAATTAAGACAAATTAAGTGAGTTATATAGTATTTATGTGATTTTATTTTCTGACAAATAAATTAGTATATACGTTTTGTTTAACAAATTTATTTATAGAATTAATTTTTTTTTAATTTCAGAAGCAAAAATATATTTATTTTATATTTAATTAGTAGAAAAGAAGGACTTTATACCTCCCTGAGGAGGTCCTTTAAATACACACATAAAGGTGATGATAGTATGTAATTATCGATAATTTTAAGGATAAAGCTTAGAGTTAATCTTCTTTATTTATTATTATGTGATTTATACAATTTTATAAATAGTTAAAATTATTAAAAAAAAATTACATACATTAAAATAAGAAATCAGTATATACGGAGTAACAAATTAAGTAACTCTATTTATATGAAATTTAGAAAATGGTAAGACTATAGAGCGAAGTTCATATAGTAAGTTATATATATTTGTTGAGTGTGCCATTAGTGACCTTTAATGGTTAGATCTGGATTGGCTTCAGCCAACTTTGTCAAAGTCTACAAGAAGGCTTTGCACGGCCAAACCATGGGTGGTGTGTCTCCGGTGAAGGGCCCTACTATAAGGGTTTCTATTTTATACAAAGATAACCAAGTCTTGTACTAGTTTCAGAGCTTTCCACATCTTAATTAACAAGTTTAATTACTTGAAAGATATATAGTGAATTTAGCAACTATTTGTTTCACAAGAAATGATAGCTAGTAGCTTCAGCTGTTTGTTTGCAGCAATATATCATAGGAAGTAACATTATTATCAAGTTTAGTTTAAATTAAAAATTAAAAATAAAGACTAATTAAGTGAAAAGAAGAAACTAACCTGTTCAACTGGAGTGAGAACTCTTTTGGGACATGCATGCTTGTGATCTAAATCTTTCCATGTTCTAATCAGTGCTTCACAAGACAACTATAAATAACACCATAAAGCGGTGGTCCATTTATTTAATGTAGTATGCGGCTAAGAACTGTGATTAGACACATATCCACACTTTGTTTTTTTTATAATTGGTGGCACATTCTAATTGAACATGCTAGATCAAATAGACCGACACATGACAATGTAGATCAAATTACTATGTTCAATATTCCTATATCCCACAAATCCATCCAAATTCATGATCACGAAACATATACAAACAAAGAGGGATCAGAATGTGTAGATAATGTGTATTATACTATCCGTTTCTGTATTTGCCTGTGAAAAAAAATATTTCTATTTATTTCATACATACGTGCAAGTAAGTGTACATAATTTTAATAAGAAATATATTGGTTTGATTTGATGTGTTGATGACTAAATTGAGTGTTATTTCATGTTTTGAATATATAATGGAATATTTGTACCGATTAAGTTATGAAACTTGATGAATTGGTGTAAAAGTGGTGGAGTTCGCGTTCTGTGATATGAAGTCTATCTTTAGCGTTATTATGATCGTTCAACGTTTATTTATTCGTTAACTTAAATTATTACCCAAGTCTCAAATAAAAATGCAAAAAGGGTTTTTTTTCATCTATAAAGGTTCCATACAAAGCATGATAGAATATATTTTTAGGGTAAATTAAATATTTATAAATTTATATAATTTTGAGCAATTAATTAAATGTACTATTTTTTAAGGTGCATAGGGTGCTAATATCTTCCCAATGCGTAATTGACTTCCGAACCCAATCTTGACTTTAAAGATTATTTTTAAAAGGGTTTTCCAATGCTTTTCCCTTAAAATAAGATATTGGTGGCGGTTTCATTGAAAAATAATGTTTGTGTCATCCCGTCGTGATTTCGGTTACGACAATGCCCCTTATTGTAACACCCCAGTTTTCCTAATTCATATTAATGATATGCTAATAATTATTTTAATATTTTAAATATGTTTATTAAAGGATTTTGATATAATTTAATTAATTATATGATTTCTATTTTAATATAAAATATGGTATGAATTAATATTTTGATTATTGATATAAGGTGTATTTTATGAAGATGTGTTTTATTAAAGGTTTAAGCTTGTGATATTTTTATTAAAAGGGAAGAGTGTATTTTGATTTTATTTTAGCTTTTTTTATAAAAGGGGAAGGAAGGTTGTTTTGGTAATTAGGTTATTATTATTATTTTATTATTTAATTAATTGAGTAAAAAGGAATTGCTAGAGTCAGTTTCATGTACTCATTTTCTCTTTGTTTATTTCCTTTCTACACTCTCTGAAGACCAAGGAAAATGAAGAGAAGACTACCTGGAAATTGCTCATGCTTCGACTTCTGTCCATCAAGGTGTTAGTACCAGAAAATGAATTCAGAGATACTCGAAATACAGGGGTGCTCGAAATCTTAGGTGATCAAAAAATGGCAAAGAAGTTTCTGAAGAAGACATACGAAGCCTGAACAGAATCAAGAGATACGCGAAGACATTTTTCGTGAAACTCTCGAAATCCTCGGCTAAGGATTTGTGAGAGTTTTCTGTTTTGATTCCTGAGTGCGAATATGTATTTGATTCCTAAAATTGATATGTTTTGGTTTGACATAGAGTGCTCTATGAGTTCTTATGGGAAACCTTAACAAAAATATTTAGGAATGTGGTTAATTGGTTTGATTTGATGTGTTGATGACTAAATTGAGTGTTATTTCATGTTTTGAATATATAATGGAATATTTGTACCGATTAAGTTATGAAACTTGATGAATTGGTGTAAAAGTGGTGGAGTTCGCGTTCTGTGATATGCAAGTTTTACGTTTTGTGTTGGGACAGAGCAAATCATGGGCTTGACTGATGAGTGACGACCTTTTTAAAAAAATTGTTTTCATTATTAAAAATAACAAAATAACTAATATTAATTATAAAAAAATTAAATTAGAAATTTGAGATTAACTAATAAACCTTTATATATTAAATACGAGTTTTCACGAAAATCCTTTTATGATTTATTCTTCTATTACAGCAATTTTAATAATTTTTTTATGACTTTTTCTCTAATTTAAATTTTTTATGTATCATATTTATTTATATTAAATTTAAATATTTAAAATATAAAAGTTAAAATAATTTTGTATTATAATATAAAATATTTATTTTAAATAAAAATATATTTTATATATTTAAAAATATGTATTTACAAAATTTGTAAATATAATATTTATTTATTTATATATATAATATAATTTATCATAAGTTATATGTAATAAATATTTAATATGTGAAACCTACATACTAAAATATTATTAATATGAAAAGTTAAAAGTTGAGACCAACTAATATTAATTATACGAAAGTGATATATTACATTTGTGTATTACGATATAAAATTAAGGATGAATATTAAAAAAATAATGTTTATATTATAATATTATTATTTAAAAAATTACAATTTTTTTAATTTTTAGTTGGTTTAGTTTTTATATTTGGTGGAAAGAGAGATATTAGTAGAAGGTTGAATTAAAAATTCAACATTTCTTTTAAAATAACGAAGTAATAACAGGAAGAAAAACACACAATATTTTCATATCAATGCATGTGATGTATTTTTTTTGGGACATTTTAATTAAACATGCTAAATCAAATATATCGATACAATCATACATGTGATTGTGACAATCAAATTACTTTGTCAAATGAATTTTCTATTGTATACACCTAATTTCGTCCAGACTAGTAAATTAAGAAATAGACTTCTATTTTGTGAAGAAAAGGAGCTCCCAAGCATGAAAACAACAGGACATGTCATCAGAAGGCCTAAAGTCCAACAAAAACTGACTTAGTAGCCTAGAACGGGCTGTTCCCAAGCCAGAACAGTCTGTTCCCAAACTGCAATGGGTTGTTCCTAAGCTGGAACGGCCTGTTCCCAACATGTAACGGGTCGTTCTCAAACTAGAACGGGTCGTTCCAGACTACTAAAAAAGGTCTAAAATCCTAGTCTGGAATGGGTCGTTCCAGCACAGGCAATTAAGTGTTAAACTCAACTCTAGAACGAGCCGTTCTGGTTTAAGAACGGGCCGTTCCATATATGAAATTAACGCATAATGAAGGGGTCCAAAACGGGCCGTTACGGATCTGGAACAGGCCGCTCTGGCCACTTTTGATGTTTATAAATAGCAGACTCAGGCACGACTCCCGAGGGTCAGAAAAATTGATCCAGAATCCCTTATATCTCGAAATTTCTCTCCCCCTCTATCTTTTATATTTCTTGAGATCTGTGAGGCATTTATGTATTGTGAAAGGTTTCCATAAAGCACCTATCTCCATATCTATTTTGAAGATTCAATACAGCTCGTCTAAGAGGTATTTCAATTAATTTTCCTCTCTCCTTTCTTTTATTTTCTCATCTCTAATAACATTGTTATACTAAAAGCAATCATGTATACCTCTCAGAGACAATCGCGTAATTTAAGTTTTAAGCATTTAAATAACCATTAATAAAGGGAATTAGATATTTAATTTGTTAATTCTTACTATGCTAACTTCATCATGAGGGTATCGATTAAAGGCGTTGTCGGGGTGATTAATACCTTCCCTGCACGTAACCGACCCCCGAACCTAATTTTGGTTACTAAGGCCATGATTGGATCTTTTTAAAAATCTTTTTTCATCTTTTCCCAATGTTTTGAGTAAAACATTGGTGACGACTCCATGAACTCCTTAATTGATGAGACTTCTTTAATTGGATGTCTAATCCATAGGTCGCAAGAACTAGAATTTTTTGAGTTGCGACAAATGGCGACTCCTCTGGGGACTTTTAAAGAGGGTCAAGCCCATATAAATAATGAAGTTAGCAAAATAAGAATTAATGGTTTAAACATCTTTTCCCTTTTACCTTGTTTGTTTTACTTGTTTGGCTTTAATATCTGTCTGTTTGAATTTTATGCATATTTGAAATAACGATTGTACACAAACCATAGCACACAATAATTCCCCTATACCCAAGGGCATGAGGGCATAAACATAAGGAGTGGTTAACGTACGACCAGCCCAAGAACGGCCTCAGAGCCTACAAGCCTTGTCGGAAATCACACTCAAGGTGATAAATGGTTACTCTAGCCTGAAAAACTACAACAGATCTTAGAGTTTGCCAAGTGAAGGCGACAGAGATACTGGGTCCCTATAATGGGGCACCTTGGGAGCCTTTAAATACCAAGTGAGATATATAGAACCGTCCTATACAATGCACTTTCTTTGACAGGAAGCTCAGACCATGGACTTTCACTGCTTATGAAATCATTTGTTTGAGCATATGTTTTTTGCATTTGTTGTTTCACCTCCCGAATGAATGAGGATTAAAGGGGCAGTAAAAAAATCAAAATTACCCTTCTGTATTCCGTATGCCCCATTTTAAGTATCATGTGAGTTAACTTATTATGAAAAAGAAATACATATACACAGATTCATGCATCATAACCCTTAGCAAAAAAAAATGATAGAAACATAGGCAAAAAAATATATCCATCATGCATTTCATTTGAAATAATAAATCATCCCTTTAGACATGGAAGGTTTAAATGATAGCATGCATGGACCATTGAGGAAAGTGAACATTTCGAATTCTGCAATGCTAAAAGTAAATGACTTATGTGCCCTAATGTCGAAAGAAGCCAAAGCAGAATTTGAAAGACGCTATGGAAGAATCCTCGATTTATTGAAGGTGTCTGTTGATCCTGCTTTTATCAGAGCTCTGGTACACTTCTAGAAGCCAGGGTTCCATTGCTTCCGATTCCCACATTTTAACATGGTGCCCACCCTTGAGGAATATGACCTAATGATTAAGTGGCCCAAATCTGATGGGGTCTACTTTACTCAAGAAGCATGAATATCTTCAAATAAGGTGGCTAAGTTAATTGGACTACCTCCTCACCTATCCGTTTTGGAAGGCAATGGAGCGGTCAAGGGATGGAAACTCTCCACATTAGAAGATCATCTTTCTCTCTTGACTCATC